TCTGACAGTTTATAAAGGATTTCAGACATTTATTTTAAACTCGAGGTCTAATATTGTCATAAATTTAAAATGTGCCACACCACTGGCAAATACCTTTAGAACTAACTTGGTTTTTTTCAATTTTCACAATTTCTGAACTATATTTCAAACACTAGAAGCAACTCAGTTAAAATATTAGAATATAACAACAGTAATATGAAATATAAACGACAAATTTAATGACCTCTGTAAGTATAAAAATTATGATATGCTCATACCTGGAAGGAAACAAATCAGATCTGATTCTCTACTCTTTGAACTTCCACTCCTGTCGACACATGGGACATAAGTGTTGCACTTGTTGAGAATTCAGCCACTTCATAATGCAGTGGATGTGGAAACAATGAGAACACTGGCCCCATACTGTAACCGATATAAACAGACATACCATCGTTATAACAGTAATTATTATGACTGCATGAAAATTACAGACTTACTTTCATTTTCCAAGTACACAGATCACTGTGTTAAATGGTGACTGTGACTCATAAACTGGACTAAATGTAGAAAATGCGACACAGTAGCATAGTTGGTTGAGGCACTATGCTACAAGCCGGAAGGTCGTGGATTCGAGTCCCGATGAGGTCACTGGATTTTACAAATGCTCTAATCCTTCCAGCCACACTATGGCCCTGGGGTCAACTCAGCCTCTGACAGAAATGAGTACCAGGAATCTTCTTGGGGAGTAAAGGGTGCCGGCACATAAGGCTGACAAACCTCACCACCATCTGTGAGCTGACTGTCTGGAGAAAATGTGGTAGCCACAACATCTCACAACTCTTTGGGCCTTCACGGCCTGTTACTGGGATAGCTTTGCCTTACCTTTGGCATGTAGAAAGAAATAATCATAGCCTATTTGAAGGCACCATTCCAACATCTGGCTTCTGGATTGATGTATCAGATGTACACAGAACATCTGATGAAATAATCATAAAAAGAATGGGATGTATTGTATGTTCCTGACATACTCAACAGTTGAAAGGTTTTACCCCTGCCAACTGTCGCACTTGTTACTAGTACAGCATATAAATATGCTTTCTTTCCAAGTCTGAATGGTGATGTAGTTATTTATTTACTTACAGATATCAGGATAGTTCGGCTGGTATAGTGACAGGTTACGGGCTGGATGACTGGGGTTCGATTCCTGGCAAAGGCAACATTTTTCTCCTCTCCACAATATCCAGACTAGCTCTGAAACTCACCCAGCCTCCTATCCAATGAGTACCAGAGGTAATTTCCTCAGGGGGGGTGAAGCGGCCGGAGCATGAAGCTGACCATTCATCTCCATTTAGTGCCAAAGTCAAGAATACTGGAGATATAGCCAAACACCCCCATATATCTTCATGGTATAGTGACTAATTAATTACGCACAGGGGCAACTTTACTTTTTATTTATTTATTCCTGGTTTATTCCTCCACGTTTCATTTCAGATAGCAGACAACAGGAATATGGGGTGGTTTAGCTAACTGTTACACAAACGAGTACTCTTTCTATGCAAAAATAGCAAACTCCATGGCTTGAGTCCGCAAGTGAACTATACTGACCAAACAACCGCCACCTGTCCGCGAAGTTAGTGCCAACTTAAGCGGATAGAGGATGTCGCGTGGTCAGCGCAGCAAATCCACACAGCAGTTAATTTCGGTTTTCTAGACCGGAGCAGATATTTCCTTAAAATAGCTCCTTAGTTATCCTCACGAGGCTGAGTGGACCCTGTTCCAGACACACTACTTCTCAAAAATCTGGTAGTGCCGGGAATCGAACCCGGACCTCTGGATCTGTAGGCAGGAACTGTGACCACTAGACCACAGAGGCGGTCCACTCTTTGTATGCACAAGGGCGATAAATCATGAAAAATTTGTCACAAAGCAGGTCTCTGTGTTGAGAACTGAACTGTATCCTTCCCATATGCTAATCAACAAGTGTGGCATTCTGTAAAAATTACAGAACAAGATGAAGCATTCCAAATTACTATAAATAACACAGTCCAGTTCTTGACTCCTGGTATGAAAAGCTGCTGTAAAAATAGTGTGCTTCTTGCATTCAGAATTGTCCAGCTGGATGTGATCCTATGATGATATCAGTAAATAATATCAATGTGTGCATCTACAGTGTTTACAAATAATGTCTAAATCATTACAACTGTAATACACATGTTGAATTCTAAATTATTGTCAGGGTTTCCGTTTACAGGCCACAGAAACCCCGACAATAATTTAGAATCACGTTGTATTTCTGCAGCTGCTATCTTACTATTATGCTATTTAATGTTATTAACAAGTGCAATGACATTAGAAATTGAAAACATAAATTTCCTTATAGTAGATGGTTCATCAAAATCCTATGGCTTCATTAAGAGAATGATGAAAGCTAGATACTAAGATTTGGCAGCAGGTAAAATGAAAAACAGAACAAGAAGTTCATGGAAGAACTAATAGCCTACTTTCTTTTCATATGACATGGACTGCACAGAAAGGGATGCCCCCAACAATTCCTCATTGTTGCAGGAATGCTTTCATGGAGTTGTTACCTAGCAACAATAGGGGGATACACAGACAGACCCACAGACTCTCCCTTGATAAGACATCAGCCACACAAGAAATGATGCCTCCAACAATTCTTCTATTGTTACATGTATTTGTTGCTGCAGGAATGTGTGTACTGAGTCACTGCGTAGAAATGAGAGGAGGGATACACATACAGACGCAGACTGATGGAAGGGATTTATGAAGTATGCCGTTCAAATGGGGCCAGATGCCATAATATATATAGCAAGTTCCATAAAAAGATACCTTCAGGCACTCAAAAAGTATATGGGAGGGGGATACACAGACAGCATGGACAAGGCATAAGCCTGCTTTAGGAGAGAAAGCTAAAAACCATCAGACTAATATTAACCTGAAGAAATAAAGATGACTAAATATACAATCTCTTCCTTTTCCTGGATGCAGAGTACCAAACCCAACTACCACCCTTATGCCTGTTTAAAGAATGTTTTCACTGCATTCATTCATATATTCCATTGGTTAGGTTTGGTTATGTTAATGTTGCTAATTTCATCAAAACATTTTTGTGTATAATACCTTGTGAATGGGTAATCTGATCTCTTCACCTTATTATTCTCCTTGCCTGAACAATAACATCTTAAGTACAATAGCCACCACAGGTTCTGGCACCAATGTCTCGTTTTCCAGAAAACAAATTTAGTGGGTAAGACTACATTATAAAACATATGAGGGAGAATTTGAGTGACTTGTCCTATATTACGTGTATTCATAATGATCCATGGATATGAAGTAAATAAATATATAAAAGAGCACACTAACAGAATCTAATATGGGCAAATTTTGAATGGGCAGCTCACACAAATTCAATTAGTTCTTGGGAATATGCAAACATAGTCACTCACTATTCTTGTGTTTAATGACTAATGAATATGAATGATATACAACAAAACTTTGTACCTAATGGGCAGTCATCACCGGGAAGCTTACAATCGGGGCAACAGCCATCAAATGCCATTCGACATATACCGCAGTTATCATCATTTGCCACCCAACGCCATGTAGCCACACCAGTCCAACCTGGAAGATATTTAAAAATCGAAGTTGTGCACATAAACATTAAATTTCACAATATTTTACATCACATTGCCCAAATGAAAATGCATGTGAATTGTCTCACTTTTTATTGTAACCTTCATGTCTATTTTTCACATTCCTTCTTACAAATATACTAATCCTTGCTGAAATCCACTGTATTTAAAATATACGTCAAGATAGGAACACAATATAAACTGTCCGGTAAAAACACCGTAAACACACGTATTAATAAATTACCAGTCTTCGATTATTAAATACTACATCAGCATTCTCAAACACATTTTGCGCTTCACAGTGACATTCAAACACAATAATCTCCAATCAACACAGCAAAAACGTCAAACATCACAAAAAACACCCAGCCTACTTTGTTCATGTAGTTCATGTACGGCTGATTCCTGGTTAGCCATATCGATTTACACCGACGACCCGGATGACTATCTGTAACCGTGTTGATATTTTAATCGAGATCATTGGTACAGAGTTATATCTGTGAGCATTTCAGAGTTATGTCTTCTGGAATATAACGCTGTGTAGCTTGTTGAGAGTCAACTGACGTTTCGGATGAACACGTCGCCTCCATCTTCATGGTAAACGATGCCGAAACGCCAATTGACTTTCAAATGATTACACGGCGTTAAATTCCAGAAGACAGAACTTTCCGTAACCACCACTGTGAGAATCTCCAATCCTACATTAGACTATTCAATCCCACTTATCACAGATTACGAATATATTCTTTCTGTTCTGAGTTTGTGCCTCGTATGAAGAATTATAGCATAGTATTTACCTCCATTAAAATGAATTTCAATATAATAAGTATGACAACTCTATTTCGAGAATAACGAAAATGTTATAACATTTGTGCTCCTGCTAAATTTCACATTTAACAGGATGTTCCCAGCACTCACACCTTCTCGCAATATTCTTTTATTGTGGGGAAAAAGTTATTGTAAATACAAAAAAAGCCTAGGCAATGCCGATCCGACCTAAACCATACAATGAACATACACTGCCATCTGTCAAATAATACTAAAGTGACACCACCTGGTGGTAACAACCGCTACAAGCTCAACCGATATAAAGGTTTATCACCACGCGCACCCCTTTCCTTGCAAGTAACACAATTGCTATGAATTGCTTAAACCAGCACCATCTCACTTGTGTCTTTCAGAATGAGAAATTTCCTCAGTTCTTCAAAAAGATATTTCTTCTATATAAATCCACTTTCACCATGAAAACATATCAGTAATACATTTGTTTTCTAACAGACTGAATTTCTTTATTCATTTTCACTCCTTCGTTTGTCAAAATATTACATAAAACAATTTTATCTGAAGCCTGACAGACCATAAACCTGATTTTTTGACCCCTGAATTACATATAGAAAACAACTTATTTTGGTTATGTAACAACTTTTGCTACAAGAATTTTTGGGATGATATAAAAGGTCACACATATGTTAAACAATAACAGAGGATTAGGGAAGAAACATCAGAAGGAATGTAGACTCAGAAACAAAAGGTGACAAAATTTAAAAAAACAAATTCAGGATCACTGTCAGAGCTTTGTTTTGAATTATTCTGTTCATTTTGTTAAACAGATAACACTAATAGCACATATGATTTTATTTAACAGATGTAAATAACATTAATTATTAAAATAATCATATTTATAATTCAAACTACTGGAAAAAAACATAATGATCACATACTATACAAAACATAAATACAAATCTATACAGATGCTACTTATTTTAAAATTGATCACTATGTTCTTGACAGCAGGACTAATCTCTCATGGTCAGTTATATACTGTGAATGTGATTACAAGAATATCCACCTTCATAAGTTAGCATCTTTATTCCTAAAAATCATTCCAATGGAAAAAAGGTATCCTCCAGTTTGTATTTCCTTTCATCTTAAAAGTAGAGGCTGGAAAATTTAATATGATAACAAGGAACAATAGACTACAAGTTAACTCATTTTTCTTTACAAATTCACATCATATACTGTACCTGGCTTTCCTAACAAAACTTCAAATGACAGGAATAATAACATATCCATAAAAATCTATAGTTTATTTAATGATGGTCAGTAACTCAAAACTACATAGCATGAAATTAATGGATGATAAACGTAAAGTTATCCTTGTGCCTAATTCATTAACCACCATGCCATGAAGATTTGTGGGGGAGTAGAGGTATAGCTCCACCACTCTTAACCTCAGCAGCAGATGGAGGTGAGTCATCAGCTTCATGCCCCAGCAGCTTTATCACTGGGTTGAAGGCCCCTGGTACCTACCGGACAGAGGCTGGGTGAGCCCCAGAGCTCGTCTGGATGCTGTGAAGGGAAAAATCGATTTCCCCTGCCAGGAATGGAACCCCAGCCAGCAGTCCATCACTATACTGATATGGCTCACCAATGAACAAATTATAATGAATAATAAAATGGAAAGAATGCCAAAGAAAGTTGTTTTTGCCTAATTTATGGTACACTCTTAAATCTTTTTGGAGGAACTGAGGGAAACCACAAAAAAGGCCTCAGTTGGGATGAGTCCACCGTACAAGACTCAAACTGGACACCTCCAAATGCAAGCCACAAGCATTACTGCTTAATCCAGTTTGCTCAGTAATGTGAAGCAAACATTCCCTATTTGTCTGATATCTTCACTGTCCAACAGCCACAACACTGATTGGCTTATAGAAGAGAATAATGCCAACTGATGATATGAAGAAAAGCACAAGAAATGTTATGCAAACTAACCCTCCCTTTAATCCAGTGTGAAACAAAACATTCACAGTCAAGTGGAAACTAACCCATGCATAAGTTTTGTTAGGATAACCATGTTGCAGCCAGGGAGAATAACCAGTGGTTCTGCTAACAAGAGACTATGTGGAGGAGCCTGCTCAAGCCTTCTTGGGGTATGACATTACATAAAGTGTTTGGATTGAAGCAGCTGTTCCAATCACACACAATGCCACTGTTATGCCAAACAAAACTTTGTCCAGTGGTCCTCCCTTAAGGTACACAGGCACGCCATCTTTCTTCTGAAACACACAAAAAGGAATAACAATTATGAAGTACTGATGCTTTCATGCCAGACGACTTCGTTCACAGCATCTGGTCCAGCAGGGTAACTCCCAATGTCAGGGCCATTCTTGCCTGCCAGCCCGAAGGCAACTTGGACACCGTGGGCCACTGTGTAGACTGCATCATCCAGACCGCACCCCAGCCAGCACTGGCAAGTGTCACACTACTCCCTGAGAACAATACAGTTCTGCAGCATATCAGAAACCTCTCCCACCAGGTGGCAGCACTCAGTACCAAGCAGGCCAGTTTTAATTTTTGTGAATCTTAATGCAGAAGTTTATAAAAATAAACAAAATTAACTCTAGGCTTTCTAAACTTATCTTTGAAGATGTGGGGGGGAAAAAACATGAAAACTTCAATGCAAAATGTTGTGTCATTTCGATGAATCTGCAACATTCCTCAGTAGTGCCATGTTTCCACTCACAGAATTTTAGAACATTAACATCCTGATTCACCGTATGTGCTAAACTGAACTTTAAGCAAAAAAATATACACCAGTTCTTGTAATGATCTGACCTGGAATAGTTCCTGCTTCTTCTTCAGGGATGAATACAGGGTACTTGTGCTAGTTGATGAATGTCGTGGAGATGTCTGGCTCACAGGTTTCACACTTGCATCTTGAAACACAATCTTGGGTGGATCATTCTTGTTCAGAGGGTTTACACTCTGTTGTCAACATTATAAAAACAAGAACTATGTTTTATTTTCATGGCATGCAGTGTCATATGTATATTATAGCAATCTGGTGTTCTTACAAATTATAATAAGAGGCACCATTATAACAAATTAATATCATAACACATTACAAATTTTAAGATCAAAATTATTCCATTCTTCAAGACAAAAAATTATGTATAAACCATAAGCTAGTTATGATTTATTATCCACAGTTCATAGTCTACTCCTCCACTATTGTGGTTCGGTGTCGAAAGTACTGTACAACCCAAACATAGATCATGCAGTATTTTCAAGCTAAAGATCCAGTGATTCATAAAACGACCTTTTAGTGATACAAGCTACAATGGTTTATTAATAGTATGGCTCCATTCCCATGAAGGTAATATGAGGAAAAAAAACTCTTTATTTCATTATCTTCACTAACTTATGGGGCTTTAATAGTTCTACTTCTCGTTTAAACTCCCTAACAATACCATAATCTCCTTACATCACAATTTAATTCGTTAACTTGGAATACCCCTGAAGAGACATGCACAGCGGTTAAAAATTTAGTACTTACAATAGGGAAATATGGCTGAATGTGTCTTGAGCCAATAAGTCTACCTGTGAAGTTATTCAGCTGGTAATACATTATGAATATCGTTAAGCCTATATCACAGCTGCACCTCCTTACAACTAAACTTACTACCCTTTCTATACACTTCGAACAAATGAACTTAGCTGCAGGGATTCCACAGCTTCCACAGGTTCTATATCGGGCACGAAAAAATCCCTCAAACATACCAGAGATAGCGGCATGTTTCGGTTCTGACGACATGCAAGGGAAATAATCGCGGCAACCAAGTGTCTACAATAGTAACACTTCTCGTTGGTGACCCTTGGCTGGAAGAATATGGACACCACAGGAACCCAAAAAGAAAAACATTTCTTAGCAGTCGTGGGAATGCAACATACAAATATAATCATCATAAACTGCTAACGCAATCGTAATTTTCTGGATTGAGAATTCAAACTGGCAGTCAGCTGCAGTCAGTATTCACTTTAAGTTTCGATAAGTTGTGATAATGAACCAAAGGCGCATACAGTTTCGTACAAATACGATCATAAACAGCTACAAATTTTACATGAATAATGTTGAGTAAAAACATTAGTCATATTGAAAAAATAGAGGTTAGTTCTGAGAACGCCTAATAGGACAACATTCACTTAGCACTTATTAACGTATTTATTTCAGTATATCATCTGACACTCACGTATACTGACGGAATATAAAAAAAAATACATTCATCAATTCTTTCCACAACATTTAAAGTTTCCAGAGGTTTCGACCAACAATTCTCACTCCATTTTTTACGAAGTGACTGGTTTTGTGGAATTAAAGCAACATTAAATTTTGAAATACTAAAATACATGTGGGGATGAAGACACAGAATTATTGCAGGTATTGCTGTGTTAAATTTTGTGTATGCTAAAATTATGATATTATAACTACGTGAAATTCAATCACTTGTGCCATCTATCGACTGCGGTTCCGTTTAGTAACCTGTTACAGGAATCACGGAATGATATTTATTCTCTCTATAGATGCCTCTGTCAACAAATATCAACGAAAAAGCAAAATTTAAAGGTGTATTGAATAAATATTTCAAATTCACAATTATAATCACTTATATCATATGTAATGTATAACTCCATCATAAAATATTCCACATCTAATTCGATACTTCATTGAATTAATTCTACTGTAATATGTAAGTTCGTGTATGCCATGAATGGACATGCTTATGAAATTCTTGAAAGTCATGTTACAAAGAACCGCCGGTTTATCGTTTTGTTCATTCAAAACACATAAAAAAAACCATGAAATTTTTGAAAGGAGTTTAATGCTCCTGCTTGTAATTAGTTTAACTTAATGGTGTTCTATTAAAATACTTAATTATCTCTGCTGTAAGTGTAAGTAAATAAGTTTCTATATCAGACAGATTTGTGAAACATATCAAGAATGAAACTTAATTAAAAAAGTTTAATGTCTGTAATAGCAAGTTATGTAAATATGAGAGAAGACAATAGCAATATTCTTTCACCAGCTTCAGAATCTACATTTTCAGTGCCCTCCAATAAAGTTTGATGATACATCCATTAAATATTCAGAATATTCAAAATTTCTGGGAGTTTGGCTAGATAAGAATTTAAGGTGGCCTATGCACACCCAGGAACTAGCAAAAAAGTTATGTAAAATATGCTTTGGTCTAAGAGTAGTAAAAAGAGTATCAGGGCTGGAGTCTGTTAGGACTCTATATTATGCCTACTTTCATTCTTTGTTATCATATGGAATATTATTTTGGGGCAACTCGCCAAATGCTAAATTGATTTTTAAGTTGCAAAAGAGAGCTATTAGAGCTATGATGCAAATTCAGAAAACTACTAGTTGTAAACAGTATTTTAATTATTTAAATATATTGCCCCTACCATGCTTGTATATTTATGAAACGCTGGTATACACAAAATCAAACTTGAAGACTCTTGCAACCAATTCAGAAATACATTCATATAATACAAGGGGAAAAGATGACCTATATATTGTTTCATGTAATACCAGTTTATGCAAAGACAATTTTATTAATACTGGACTTC